GGTTTTGCTTGTCTTCATCCATCTTTTCCCTGCCACCACCACCCACAACTACAATTATGAGCTCTGCAATGCATGATGGGAAATTCTGGGAACTACCATCAAACAAAAGGTTTTACTTTTTTAAGGCTTTTTTATGCTTTTTGTTTTTATTTTTTTGCCCGGGAGTCGAGAATGATTGTATGAAAAAGCTTTGCAGTTTGGTTATTATTGTTTGACAAAGGTTCCTATTATGCTAAAATGCTCTTAGCTCAAGTCTTATATTTTTGGATTCTTTGAGCAATATCTTATTCAATTCTCTTATATGCAGGAATAATATTTCTAGTAAAGATGGCACCCTGTGTTATCAGGAATAACTTTCAGATCAATTAACTCATTTAAATACGGTCAAATTAAAGTTTAAATTTTATTGACTGTCATAACAACATGATTTTGAATTTTGATTTCAGCGAAAAAATATCAATACCATAGAACCATGCTATGAATGTATTAAGTAAAATATAAAATAGCTAATAGCTACTTAATGTACAAATGTGAAACTTATTAAATAATCAAGTTAATGAGTCACATAATAAAAGTAATTGTTAGAACATTGATGAATAAAGCTTGCATTTGGTATTAAATGACCCATAAGGAGTTGATATGCCATTAAGCAAATACATCACCCAATCAATAATGCTTGCATGTTAATCAAACCAGATTTGGTTTGGTTTGATTTATCTTTTTTTATAGCATATCAACACCTCCGTGGGATATGTAATGCTGACAAGATTTTTAGGATAGGTTGTTATGAATAGAAAATTCTATGTAGATCAGGTTTCATTGAAGTTTTTTTTTTTGTAAAGAGGGTTTTTGTCCAGAGTCAAATATATTGTTGGTAATTTCGTTTTTCAAAAATGAATTGCTGGTAATTTTTTTTTCAAATATGTATTGCTGGTATGTTTATAAAAATCTATTTTTATACTTTAATAATGTTTTGACCTCAGTTTGGGGGTTAACTATTTGCTCATAGCTGGGACCCTAACATGTGCTACCACTCTGGGTCAGGTGGACCTGGGTAGAACAGCAAGTAAGAATTTGTCCCATGCTTTTCAACACCTCCCGATCAGAGGCCTTACTACCAGATCATTCGATGAAAGACAGTGGAAGAAAAATGCTATACTGCAAAGGATTAGAAATGCAATAGAAATGCCAAAAGATCTATACTTGCGTTTTATAGATCACATGAAAGGATTCAATAAAATTCAGCATGAAGAATTTCTTGAAATGTTAGAGAAGCTTGAAATACATGGAAAGGATATAATTTTTTTATTGAGTTCAACACATGCAAATACATTAAGATACAAGGGGTCACTTGGTATGGATTAATTAAAAACAGAAATATTACTAAGCTTTTTGAGGCCTCAATCAACAAGTAGATAGTCGAACACCTGGATAGAAACACCCACTAGTATGACAAGCAGTATGGATTTGGATCAGCTCGATCCACTGATGATGCCCTAACTACCATTACACACAGATTTAGTGAGGCCCTTGACATTGCACATACCACAATATCTCGAAGGCCTTCAACAGTGTGTGGCACAAGCTCTCCAGCTATGGAATTACTGGAATGGTTTTGTCTGTTATAAAATGCTTGCTAAAAGATAGATCCCTGAAGGTAGTTATCAACAGCCAGTCCTCTGGGGCCCTGGTGGTGAATGCAAGCATTCCCTAGGGGTCATTTTTCAGACCAACTCTCTTTCTGATTTACATACAGGATCTACCTAAGAATATGCTCCAATCATTTGTAAATATCTTTGCCAATGATACGCCAATATACGGGCACACCTCTAAAAGTTTTGACAATCAGAGTTTGGCAGTTGACCTCTCTTCAGATCTAACACTAATTTCTCAATGAAAAAAAACTTGTTGGTTATATTCAATGCGTCTAAATATATCAATATTTATATATATACATATATTATATATAGACATAGATATAATAAATATATATATATATATATATATATATATATAGATAGATAGATAGATAGATATTAATTATATATATACATGTAAAAATTCTCAGAATGGTGGCACTTTCAGTGATTTTCCTTCCGAATGAATTATTTTCTATTTAAAAATTCAAATTGTGCTTGAATTTATTTCTATGTATGACCAGATTTGTCAGATTGTTATTTATGAGGTCCTTTTTGCATCCATAAAAGGGAGCTGTTGTGAGGAACAGATTTGGCAATTTATTTTATATATACATGCTTCTGAAATATTATTGTTACAGGTGTTTTTAATTCTGATCATATCCAAAATGGTTTTGGAAGTAGTTGTGATTATTCAGATATTGTTTAAATGGAATAGGATGTTCTGGATAGTAGATGTTATGGAATTGGTCGGTAGTATTATGTTATCTGTTCTTATATAATATATTATTAAGGGTGATGTTATTTTTGTTGCAGTCATATATTTTGTATGCCTTTTTTCTTGCTTTGTGAATGAAGTGATATGCATATTGCCTGTTTTTGAATGTGTTTTCTATGTATGGCGCTTCTTTGGCCAATTATGGGGGCTTGCAATACATAGAATAAATTCAAGCACAATTTTGATTTTAAAAATGCTATACTCATGAAAAAAGGGAATAGTTCACACAGAAGGAAAATCCTCAAGAGTGCCGCCATTGAATATTATCCAAATATTAATCTCTGCCCCGTTTTTTATTGAATCTCACCTTTCCTAACAGAATCACTACTCTCCCAAGTCAACGTACACAACAAATATGTAAAGAAATCAAAAGAAAATGAATGAATCCATTTTCACAACAATCCAAACAATATTTCTATATATGAAAAATTCTCTTCAAACATGAAAAGTAAATGACGTAATTTTTCAGTTGAACCAATGAATATATACGAGGATTTCTAAATTCTTCTAGTAACTAACACAACATATTGTTTTTTGTTTATAGATACTTATTCAAATAAATTCATTTTGTTCTTTGCTTTGAAAATGCCTGCAGTGGACAAAACACATCAGCTAAAACTGCACACAGTTTTCCTATTTGCTTTTTTTCCCTTATGCATGCATATATATATATATATATATATATATATATATATATATATATATATATATATTAAATATATATATGCATATAGAGAGAGATAGAAAAAATAGATAATATATATATATATATATATAGATAGATAGATATTAAATATAATGTATATATAGATATTAAATATATATATATAGATATTAAATATATATATATGTATATATATACACATATTAAATCTCTCTCTCTCTCTCTATATATATATATATTAAATATACTCTATTAAATATATATATATATATATATATATATATATATATATATATATATATATATATACATTTTAATGATATGTTTTGTTGTACCAAACTTTTATGACTGCCATAAAAGGCAAAAAATTATTTTATTACCACTCATGATGAAAATAGATAAAGTAAAACTGAAAAACGGGCTAGCTAACCGGTTTCGAACCTCGCTTAACAAAGCTAAATTGAGGTTAATAAATTAAATAGAATTAACACTAAAAAGGATGGACAATATGTATTTGGGGAAAAATATTGCTTAGATGGAAATTAGTTGGAGGCTTAGTACAAAGTCCATCTGTTTACACAGAGATGGCTTCAATGATAAAATATAAATGGCCTCCAACACTTTCTAGTTAATTTCATTTTATTTATTAACCTTGATTTAACTCTGTTGAGCAAAGTTCAAAACCAGTTAGCTCACCTGTTTTTCAGTTTTACTTTGTATCTATTATCATCATGAGTGGTAATAAATATAATTTTTGTCTTTTTATGGCAGTCATATATATATATATATATATATATATATATATATACTGATATTAAATATATATATATAATTATTTATTCAAAATTATAACATAAATATGTTATAAAATCACTACAAAAATGCATTCAACATCATCACTTGATAAGACACCAGAGGTGTTGAAACAAAATGCCTATTTTTGTAGTGATTTTATAACATATTTATGTTATAATTTTGAATTATATTTGCTCTACTCTGTATTGAGCACTCTTTTAAGAATAGTAATTGTTGGTTATTGGAATTTATTCCATATACACCAATCCTATACTTGTATATATATATATATATATATATATATATATATATAGAGAGAGAGAGAGAGAGAGAGAGAGAGAGAGAGAGGATGAGATATTAATGCAATTCAAATCTTTCTAGATCCATTTTCTCCATTTTTCTATTCTACCAATCCAATCAAGATAAAATTGCCTGTCTGGAAAAATCATCATTCACAATGACATTTAGGTAATACTGATGTAATGGAATAACCTGTCACCCCCATGAGTGACTACATTATAGGCAGTAACTGCCTATAAGTATCTGTAAGTCAACAGTCTACAGAGTCTAGCTGGGATCTGTTGAGTACAACTCAGACTTACGCAAGAACTACCAACCTTCCAATCATAGCACTTACTACTGGATTGACTTGATGATGACCTTGTGCATAACTGTTACCTTTATTATTCTTGGACTGTTTTTTTTTTACAATAAACCTTTACTTATTTTTATCCACCCACCTTGTCTTTCAAGTATATATTCCTATTAGCCTGGAATATAACAAGTACTTTTGTTTGAACACTGATCATTTGTACCAGAAAGTATCTATATAACAAATACAAAGATGAAGCAAGTCCTGAATGGGTAAAACACTTTGTTTATTTGTCTTTTTTGATGAAACTAAGACAAAAAGGAAATAAATAATTGTGTGAAATAGAGAAGAAGGGTGAGAGAGTTTGTGTGTGTGTGTGTGTGTGTGTGTGTGTGTGTGTGTGTGTGTGTGTGTGTGTGTGTGTGTGTGCTATTATTCTTTTTAATTTCTTTCCTTCTCTCTCTGTGTAATTGGGTGTCGTATCTGCTGGTGAAACGTCCGACAGTGATTGATGTCATGTCCAAGGCGATCCACTCACGTTCCAAATGATGAAACAGTGAATATCAAGTCATTGCTTAATTGATGAAATGTCAGGAAGGTTGAAGAAAGAGAAAGAAAAAAGAGAAGGAGATAGAAAGAGAGAAAGAAAAAAGTGAAATAGAGAGAGAGAGAAAGATAAAGAAAGAGAATGAAGTAGTATTGCAAATGTGAAAAAAGCAGGAAAGAAAATGACTGAGAGAAACAGAGGAAAGAATTGAGAAAGATAAAATAGAGAGAAGAAGAGAAAAGGAAAAAGTGAATATTCAAGAGACCGAGGGAAATAGAGGAAAAGAGAGAAAGAAAGGAGAAAGATATAGAAAATAAAAAAATAGAAAGAAAGGGAGAAAAATGAAAGAAAGAATGAGAAAGTGAGAAAAGTTTAAAGGGAGGGAGAGAAAATAGGACTGAAAGAAAGAGAGCAAGGAAAACAGAGAAAGTAAAAAGGATAAAATTAGAGAAAGATAGTGAAGAAGAGAAAATAGAGAGAATGGAAGATTGAAAAATCAAGAGAGAGAGAGAGAGAGAGAGAGAAAGAAATAGAGGAAGATACAGAAAAATAAAAAAAAGAGAAAAAAGGTAAAGAAAGAGAATGAGAACAATAAAGAAACAAACTGCAACTTAAAAAAAGAGAGAAAGAAAGAAAGAAAGATGATAGAGAGAAATATATAAAAAGACAAAGAGCAAAAAAGAGCAAAAGAAAACAAGAGAAAAAGAAATAAAAAAGAGAGAAGAAAATATAGAGATAGAAAAAAGTAAAGAGAGAGAGAGAAAAAAAGAGGGTAAATGAGTATGAATGAAAAAGGAAAAATTAATAAAGGTTTACAAAAATGAAAGAAAGAAATATTAAAAGAGAGTAGTTAAAAGGCTTGCAACATGTGAAAATGAAAAAGAGTGAGAAATGGTGAGAGAGAAAGTGTCTAATAAAAAGAAAGAGAAAGAAAGAGATTGCCTGAAAAATTCAAAGATAGGAAAAACAGAGAGAAAACAAGAGAGAAAAAGAAAAAAAGTTACTGTGAACAGAGGGAGGAGAGGAAGACAAAACAATAAAAATAAGAGATCTAAATAAAGCAAGGTCAGAGAGAGAGTGTGAATAACAAAGAAGGAATATAACAAAAAAAATTTGACGAATAATAAAATTGTTAAAATACGAGGGAGTGATATTTCTCTTGGAACTAGATGTTTAATTGAATAAACAGAAAATAAAAAAGGGTATAGAAAATATCTGAGAGAAGAAAAGTAATAGTAAAGAAAGAAAAAAGGAAAAAAAAAGAAGAAAGAAAAACAATAAATAAAAGTAAACACAGAAAAAGAAATAAATAACAAGAAAGAAGAAAAAATGCAATGGAACCTATATAAAAGAAAGAAAAATTGAAAGAAAAAAACAAAGAAGAAAAATAAGAAGAAATAAAGAAAAAAGAAGGAAAAGAATAATAAGAGTGAAACAAAAAATAAATGAATGAAGCATAAGAAAATAAAAAAAAATAGAATAGCTAATAAGACAGAAAAAAGAAGGAAAAAATATGCAAGGAAAAAGAAAAAAGAAAACGAAAAAAAGGATAAGAAAGAAAGAAATGAACAAACAAGTAAAAAAAAAAAAAGAAAAATATCCAAGGAGAAAGAAAAAAGAAAACGATAAAAAGGATAAGAAAGAAAGAAATAAACAAACAAGTAAAAAAAAGAAAAAAAGAAAGAAAAGAACCAATAAAATTTTATGCATAAGAATGAAAGAAAAATATTAATAAGCAAGAAAGTAAAAAAGAAAAATAAGAAAGAAAACATCAAATAAAAAGAAAAAGATAAAAGTAACAAGAAAATAATGAAACAAATGAATAAATAAAATGAAAATGAAAGAAAAAACAATAAGAATGAAAACAAGATAGAATAAAATTCCAGTAAGAAAGAAATAAAAGAACCAATATAAAAGTAGAAAGAAAGAACCAAGGAAGCAAGAAAGAAAGAATAATGTATCATTTAAAGGGAGGAAGGAAGGAAGAAAGGAAGGAAGGAAGAAAGGAAGGAAGGAAGAAAGGAAGGAATGGATAAAAAAAAAGGAAAAAAAATAAAAAGGAAAAAAATTAAAAAGGAATGTAAAAAGAGGGACTAAACAAAGGAAAGGTAGAAAAGAAAATAAGAAAAGAAACAGAAAGAAAAGAAGAAAACTGAGTAACAGCAAAAAAAAAAAACAATAAGAAAGAAAGAAACAAGTTAAAACAGAAAGAAAGAAAGAAAAAAGAAAGAAAGAGGAAAAGAAGCAAATGGAAACCAAAATATCTAAAAAAAAGAAAGAAATAGAAAAAGAAAGCACAAATAATAAAGAAAGAAAGAAAATAGAATGAAATGTAATAAAAAATGACCCATTTTAGACAGAATGAATGGAAATGGAAAGCAATAAGAAATAAAGAAAGAAAAAAGAAAAAAAAGAAAAAGAACAGTAAAAGAAAAGAACCAATTAGAGAGAGAGAAAGAAAAGACAAGAACTACTAAGGAAGAGCCAATAAGAAAGAAAGAAACTAAAATAGAAAGAAAGAGGAAAAGAGGCAAATGGAAACCAAAATATCTAATAAAAAGAAAGGAAGATAAAAAGAAAGAAGCAATAAGAAAAAGATAAGAATAATAAAAGAAAAGAAACCATAAAAAAGAAAGAAAGAAAGAAAAAATGAGGACCACTAAAAAGAGCCAATAAGAAACAAAAGAACCAGTAATAAAAAATCAAAGAACCAATAAAGCAAATAAGAAAATGAAAGCCAAAAAAGTCCAAAAAGACAGAAAGAAATGTAAGCTAAAAAGAGGCCAGAATTGCAGTACTCTGAGAAGAAAGTTGAATAACATATTCAGCGCCATGAGTAATGGCAAAAAGGATGAAACAGTGGTGCCAAGGGAATCTGGAATAACATTAAGAAAAGGGGGATAAGTAAGTCTGTAAAAGAGGTGAGAGTTAGTTTGTAAACCATTACTCTTGTAGAAGATGTATCTCAAAGACATGTTCCCATTTGTCTCCCATTTTTGCTCATCAAACTTTCAGGTCAGGTTTTAAGCTGCTGAAGTGGAATCGGTTTCTGAAAATCGGTTTTTGACTGCCTCGATAGATAAACGAGTGGACACGACAAAATTACCATCACTGTTGGCCAAAGTTAACCCCAAACCAGGATTTTCTTTTTATCAAATATAAATATATCAAAGCAAGAAACAAGCACATACAATGTGATGGCAGCCAAACTAATCTCAAAGTCAATACGAAAGTATAGTGATTTTATTGTCATAGCTAGCTCACAAAATATGGCCATATCTCAGACTTATTGTATTTCTCTAGCTCATTGCCTAATGTTATTATGAAATGATTTTTATAGCAAATATCCTAATCTTTATTGTTTTTAGTCTCATATTTTAGATTTTTATCCAGAAATGGAAGTTTGTAAAGAATCCTTTATTTAGTTTTGTAATGATTACTGAATAAAAATGCAACTGAAAAAGTCTGAGAAAATCATTTGTATTATTTTTTACAAAATATTTTATTCATATAAATTCATAACATCATTGTTCAGTCACCAAGATATTTTTCTTAGTTTTTTTTATGAATTTATGCTTTCTATTGGTTAAATTATTTATTCTATTTTAAAATATTTTTAGTGTTTTTTTAAAAAGTCATAGTGGCTCAGATTGAGGAATCGGAGAGCCGAGTTTGAATTCCAGTTGAATCCATTACATTCACTTACATACTAATACCCTTGGGAAAAGGATGAATCCTCTTCTCCTCCCCCCAGCTATGGGTAAGCAGCAGGACAGGTTCTATAGCCTTGGATGGTAACTGGTCTACCACAGAAAGAAATGGCCACCTACTGCGGAAAAAAAAAAATCAGCCTTGTTAGTTATGTATCGAAAGATACATGATTGCCTAAGCGTTTATCATGCATGGCACATAACTGACTGATTGACATAAATTCATAGCATTATTATTCAGCAATCAAAGTATTTACTTTTAATTTAATTGTTTAATTTAATTAGTTCTGGAATTTACTGTTTTTGCCTGAGTAGTTCAGGTCTAGATAAAAAGCAAGATATTAACTTCCAAGGCAGCTAGACCCATCCCACTTCAAACATTGGTGCAGCACAATCTTCTTATACTAATTTGGCCCTGTAATAGGGTCATTTATAATGCTTGGAGGTTTAAATAGCTGCAGGTTTCAAGATACAAAGCTGGGTAAAATGTCTACCTATAGCCTCAAGTACAAACTTGACCAATGTTTGCCTATAGCCTCAAGTACAAACTTGACCAATGTTTGCCTATAGGTTCAAGAATAAACCAGACAAATGTTTTTCTGTAGACTCAAATATAAACAAAACTACTGTTTACTTAAAGATTTTAGTTCAAACACATACCAATGTTTACTAATAATCTCAAGTATAAACAAAACTGTTTACTTATAGATTCTAGTGCACGCATAACTAATGTTTACCTATTGACTCAAGTATAAAGAAAACTATTGTTTACTTACAGATTCTAGTGCAAGTACAACCAATGTTTACCTATAAACTCAATTATAATTAAAATAATTTCAACTTTAATTAACCCAACAAGAGTTGCTATGTCTTAGAATCCACCAATCCATCAGAACCTTTTTCTTTGACTTAACAAACTCACATGTGTGGGCAGTGTAAGGGATAGTGTCATAGAAAGTGGAGAAAAAAGTTCAAATTTCACCTAAGTGTCCTGCCTACACTTATTCAAAATCTATCACTTCACACTGCAGTTAAAATAAAGCCGGCTAAAACTATTAGAAAAGGGGACATCTTCCATGTGATTACTAGCAGACTCAATTATAAACCTGACCAATGTTTACCTATAGACTCGAGTATAAACCTGACCAAAGTTTATCTATAGACTTGACCAAGGTTTACCTATAGACTTGAGTATAAATGCAACCATAGTTTACATATAGACTTAAGTGTAAACTTGAACAATATTTCCTTATAGACTTAAGTATAAACCTGGCCAATGTTTATCTGTAGACTTGACCAATGTTTACCTATAGACTCGAGTATAAACCTGAATAATATTTGCCTATAGACTCAAGTATAAACCTGACCAATGTTTACCTAAAGACTCAAGTATAAACTTGACCAAGGTTTACCAAAAGGTCTAAGTACAAAACTGACCAAAATTTACCTCTAGACTTGAGTGTAAACTAATAAACTCAAATGTGTGTGTAGTGTAATGATATCGGTATGGGGAACACAATTGGTAAGCCAGAGTTCAAGTTCCAGCTTAGCCTCTTGCAGTCACTTTTGCTCAATGCAAAAATCTATCTTTTCAATCAGTTCAAAAATAGGAAGACTCTGAATTCAAAATTGTAAAGAAGGCAACAGGAAACCATTCCTTACCTTTCATATTTATGAATGGGAATTTGTAGATAATAAAGAAAAAGGAATCTGAAAAGAGCCATGATCACTTCATCATCATCATCTTTCGACCTCCTTATGGTTGGTCGGAACTCTGTTGACAATTCCTTTCCACACTGCTCAGTCCTGTATTGCTGCCCCCAGATCCCTAATGTCCAGCCCTAAGTTCCAAGCTATGGTGTCTGGGAAAGTCAATTTTTATGAGAAGACACTTCCAGAAGGATGCCATAGGAGTAAAGATGGAACAATTTCCCTGTCCACTCAGTGGCAGTGACCTGCAAACTTTAATCATTTTTGTTTGAGCTTAAGAGAGATTGGTCTCATTTCTCTGTTAATTGTACTAAGCATTGCATGGGATCTCCAACTGATGTCCTGGATTTTTCTAAGTAGATTTGTATATGTTCCATCCAGTTATCTTTCAAGACGAACAGATAAAGTTTCTGATCCTTAGTGTAGGACTGATTCAGTCAATTAACTATGATCACTTGCATCTTGAAGGAACATAAAAGTTTTAATAAAAAACAATAAAAAACAAATTTTGACATTAAATAATGTAAAAAGAGTTGATATGGCATAAGTATTAAATAATAATGAACAATAAAATGGGGTAAGACTTTTACAAATGTGACCACTTTCCAGGTGATTACTTGCAGACTTAAGTATAAGCTTGGCTAATGTTTACCAGTGTTGTAGTATACCTACGGAAAATAATGGGTACATCCCATTCACATAAATATAGTAGTAAATACTGTATGTTGGTTGGCAGTTGGAGATTAATTGTGGAATTCACTTGACTCACTTCTAGCAGTTGACTATTTCTTCTATGTGCCGCTGGCGAAACTTATATGTGTTGTTCTTGTCCTAAGTATTATCGTTCATTACCAACCCTCATGTGATTATTCTATTCAATAACTTCCCCTAGGTTACAACAAGCTGTAAACTCAAGTATAAGCCTGAGCAATGATTACTTGCAAACTCAAGTATAAAGCTGACCAGTGTTTAACTATAGACTCAATTATAAATCCAACTAATGTTTACCTACAGACTTAAGTATAAATCTGACTAATGTTTACCTATAGACCGAAGTATAAACTTGATCAGTGTTTTCCTATAGTCTGATATGTAAAGATGACTCAAGTATAAAAACAAGCACATTTTAATTTTATAGGCATGTATATAGCTAACCAATGTTTTCCTATAGGCTCAAGTATAAACATGACATATGTTTACCTATAGACTCAAGTATAAATATCACTCGCATTTACCTATAGACTCAAGTCTCTTTTTTCTTTATTTGATTTCATTTTTTCTTTTGTTATCTTTCTGATCTTCATCATATTCAGTTTCTTTTTCTGTCGATTCTTTTCTTCATCACATTTCTACAAACTTCACCCTTTCCTCATTCTTACATTTTTTAAAAATGTTTTCAAGTCTTTGACAGTTCCCATCTCTTTCTTTCTTCATTCTCTTCATCTACTCTCTGTTAAACTTTGTCTCTTTCTTTATCTTTGCAGGTTAATGTTCTCTTTCCCTTTTTCATAATTTATTCACATCGAATCTTCAACTTTCAAAAATCAATACTTTATTCCGGCCTTCATTTCACTTTAGTTTCTTTTTTTCACTTTTCCTCATCCATATTTTTAACTCTTCTCCTATATTCTTAGATTGTTTTCTGGTTTCTCTCTCTCAGTAGACGCTTTTCTTTCTTTTAGTTATCTCTCTCTTTTTAGCATTCTTCTCTTTTTTTATTCTTTCTTTTCAATGTTGTTTTTATAATTGTTCTCTCTCAATACACAATACCCTTGGTTTCAGTTTTGTCTCTCTCTCTCTCACTCACTCACTCCCTCTTTCTTCTTTGTTTTTTATTCTCTTTTTTCAACATTATTTTATTATTGTTCTCTCTCAGTATACATTTCTCTTGGTTTCAGTTCTCTCTGTTGGTCTCTCTCCCTCTTTCTTTTTTGCTTTTCATTCTCTCTTTTCAATGTTATTTTATTATTGCTCTTTATTCATATACACTTTCCCTTGTTTCATTTCTCTTTCTCTCTTTTTATCTTTCGTCTCTTTCATTCTCTCTTTTCAATGTTATTTTATTATTGTTCTTTATTCATATACACTTTCCCTTGTTTCATTTCTCTTTCTCTCTTTTTATCTTTCGTCTCTTTCATTCTCTCTTTTCAATGTTATTTTATTATTGCTCTTTATTCATATACACTTTCCCTTGTTTCATTTCTCTTTCTCTCTTTTTATCTTTCGTCTCTTTCCTTCTCTCTTTTCAATGTTATTTTATTATTGCTCTTTATTCATATACACTTTCCCTTGTTTCATTTCTCTTTCTCTCTTTTTATCTTTCGTCTCTTTCATTCTCTCTTTTCAATGTTATTTTATTATTGCTCTTTATTCATATACATTCATTTCTCTTTCTCTCTTTTTATCTTTCGTCTTTTTCATTCTCTCTTTTCAATGTTATTTTATTATTGCTCTTTATTCATATACACTTTCCCTTGTTTCATTTCTCTTTCTCTCTTTTTATCTTTCGTCTCTTTCATTCTCTCTTTTCAATGTTATTTTATTATTGCTCTTTATTCATATACACTTTCCCTTGTTTCATTTCTCTTTCTCTCTTTTTATCTTTCGTCTCTTTCATTCTCTCTTTTCAATGTTATTTTATTATTGTTCTTTATTCATATACACTTTCCCTTGTTTCATTTCTCTTTCTCTCTTTTTTTCTTTTTCGTCTCTTTCATTCTCTCTTTTCAATGTTATTTTATTATTGCTTTCTTATTCATATACACTTTCCTTGTTAAAATTCTCTTTCTCTCTTTTTATCTTTCTCTCTTTCCTTCTCTCTTTTTCAATGTTATTTTATTATTGCTCTTTTTCATATACACTTTCCTTGTTTTCATTTCTCTTTCTCTCCTTTTATCTTTCGTCTCTTTCATTCTCTCTTTTCAATGTTATTTTATTATTCTTCTTTATTCATATACACTTTCTTTGTTTCATTTCTCTTTCTCTTTTTTATCTTTCGTCTCTTTTCATTCTCTCTTTTCAATTTTATTTTTCTTTATTGTTCTTTTTCATTTCATTCATTTCTCTTTCTCTCTTTTTTTCTTTCTCTTTTTTCATTCTCTCTTTTCAATGTTATTTTATTATTGTTCTTTATTCATATACACTTTCCCTTGTTTCATTTCTCTTTCTCTCTTTTTATCTTTCGTCTTTTTAATCTCTCTTTTTCAATGTTATTTTATTATTTTTCTTTTCTTCATATACACTTTCTTTGTTTCATTTCTCTTTCTCTTTTTTATTTTTTTTCTCTTTCATTCTCTTTTTTTCAATGTTATTTTATTATTGCTCTTTTTTTCTTATACACTTTCCTTGTTTCATTTCTTTTCTCTTTTTTTCTCTTTCTTTCCTTCTCTCTTTTCAATGTTATTTTATTATTGTCTTTATTCATATACACTTTCCCTTGTTTCATTTCTCTTTCTCTTTTTTATCTTTCGTCTCTTTCATTCTCTTTTCAATTTCTTTTTTATTATTGCTCTTTTTTTTGTCTTCTTTTTTTTTTTTTCTCTTCTCTCTTTTCAATGTTTCTTTTTTTTTCTTTTTCTCTTTTCAATTTTTTTTTTTTCTTTTCTCTTTTTCATTTTCACTTTTTTTATTGTTTTCATTTCTTTTTCTCTCTTTTTTTTTTTCGTCTCTTTTCATTCTCTCTTTTCAATGTTTTTTTTTATTATTTCTTTTTTTCATATACTTTTCCTTTGTTTCATTTCTTTTCTCTTTTATCTTTCGTCTCTTTCCTTCTCTCTTTTTCAATTTTTTTATTTTATTATTGCTCTTTTTTATTCATATACACTTTCCCTTGTTTCATTTCTCTTTCTCTCTTTTTATCTTTCGTCTCTTTCCTTCTCTCTTTTCAATGTTATTTTATTATTGCTCTTTATTCATATACACTTTCCCTTGTTTCATTTCTCTTTCTCTCTTTTTATCTTTCGTCTTTTTTTTTCTCTCTTTTCAATGTTATTTTATTATTGTTCTTTATTCATATTTTTTCCTTGTTTCATTTCTCTTTCTCTCTTTTTTCTTTCGTCTCTTTCTTTTCTCTTTTCAATGTTATTTTTTATTGCTCTTTTTCTTTACACTTTTCCTTTTTCAATTCTTTTTTTTCTTTTTTTCTTTATTCTTTTTCATTCTCTCTTTCCTAATGTTTCTTTTCTGTCTCTTTTTCTTTTCACTTTTCTTTGTTTCTTTTTTCTTTCTCTTTTCTTTCTTCTGTCTCTTTCATTCTCTTTTCAATTCTCTTTTTTTTTTTTTATTGCTCTTTATTCATATACACTTTTTCTAATGTTTCTTTTGTTTCTCTTTTTTTTATTCTTCTTTCTTTTTTTCAATTTTTTTTTTTTCAATGTTTTTTCCTTATTTCTCTTTTTTTTTTATAATCTTTTTTTATTTCATTTTTTATTTTCTCTTTTTTATTTTCTTTCTTTCTTCTCTCTTTTCAATGTTTCTTTTTTATTGTTCTTTTATTCATATACACTTTCCCTTGTTTCATTTCTCTTTTCTTTTTTTTTTTCGTCTCTTTTTTTCTCTCTTTTCAATGTTATTTTATTATTGCTCTTTATTCATATTTTTTCCCTTGTTTCATTTCTCTTTCTCTCTTTTTTCTTTCGTCTCTTTTTCTTTCTCTCTTTTTCAATGTTATTTTATTATTGCTTTTTATTCATGTTACACTTTCCCTTTTTTTCATTTTTCTTTCTCTCTTTTTATCTTTCTTTATTCTTTTCTTCTCTCTTTTTCAATGTTCTTTTTTTATTCTTTTCAATGTTTCTTTTTCTTTCTCTTTTTCATATGTTTCTTTCCTCTTTTTCATTTTTTTCTCTCTTTTTATCTTTCGTTCTTTCTATTTCTCTCTTTTTCAATGTTTTCATTTTTTTATTTCTCTTTTTTCATATACACTTTTTCCTTTTCATTTCTCTTTTCTTTTTTTATCTTTTTTCTCTTTCTTTTTTCTCTCTTTTCAATGTTTCTTTTTATTGTTCTTTATTCTATACACTTTCCCTTGTTTCATTTCTCTTTTTCTCTTTTTTTCTTTTTTCGTCTCTTTCATTCTCTTTTTCAATGTTATTTTTATTATTGCTCTTTATTCATATACACTTTCCTTGTTTTCATTTCTTTTCTCTCTTTTTTCTCTTTCGTCTCTTTCATTCTCTCTTTTCAATGTTATTTTTATTATTCTTTTCTTTATTCATTTTTCTGTCTCTTTCCCTTGTTTCATTTCTCTTTCTCTTTTTTTATCTTTCGTCTCTTTCATTCTCTTTTTCAATGTTATTTTTTTATTGCTCTTTATTCATATACACTTTCCTTGTTTCATTTCTCTTTTTTCTTTTCTTTTTTCTTTTTCTCTTCTCTCTTTTCAATGTTTCTTTTATTGTTGCTCTTTATTCATTTCTTGTTTCTTTTCTCTTTCTCTCTTTTTTATGTCTCTTTTCTATTTTCTTTTTCAATGTTTTTTTGCCTATTGCTCTTTATTCTTTCACTTTCCCTTGTTTCATTTCTCTTTCTCTCTTTTTATCTTTCGTCTCTTTCATTCTCTCTTTTCAATGTTATTTTTCTATTGCTCTTTATTCATATACATTTCCTCTTTTTTAATTTCTCTTTTCTCTTTTTTTTTCGTCTCTTTTCATCTCTTTTTCTTTATTTTTCAATGTTATTTTTTCCTTTTTCTTTTCTCTTTCTTCATATACACTTTTTTTCTCTTTTTCTAATATTTCATTTCTCTTTTCATCTCTTTTTTCTTCTCTTTTCTGTTTCTTTTTTTTTCTTTTCTCTCTTTTCAATTTTCAATTTTATTTTTTGTCTTTTTTCATATACACTTTCCTTGTTTCATTTCTCTTTCTCTTTTTTATCTTTCGTCTCTTTCTTTTTTCTCTCTTTTCAATGTTATTTTATTATTGTTTTATTTTCATATACACTTTTTTTTGTTTCATTTTCTTTCTCTTTTTTTTTCTTTTCGTCTCTTTCTATTCTCTCTTTTTCAATGTTATTTTATTATTTTCTCTTTTCTTATTTTCTTTTTCTGTTTCTTTTCTTCTTTTTCCTTTCTTTCATTCTCTCTTTTCTCTTTTTTTAATGTTTCTTTTTTCTTTTCTAATGTTTCTTTTTCTTTCTCTTTTTTATGTTTCTTTTTTATTGTCTCTTTTCAATTTATTTTTTCAATGTTTTTTCATACTCTTTTCCTTGTTTCATTTCTCTTTCTCTCTTTTTAGTGTTCGTCTCTTTTCTTCTCTCTTTTCAATGTTATTTTATTATTGTTTCTTTTTTCATATACACTTTCCCTTGTTTCATTTTCTCTTTCTCTTTTTTTCTTTCGTCTTTTTTTTGTCTCTTTTCAATTTTTTTTTTCTCTTTTTTCCAATGTTATTTTTTTATCTCTTTTCTAATTTTATCTTTTCTTTTCTTCTCTCTTTTCAATGTTTCTTTTTTATTGTCTTTTCTAAACTTTCTTTTTCATTTCTTTTTCTCTTTTTTATCTTTCTCTTTTTCCTTCTCTTTTTCAATGTTTTATTATTATTGTCTTTTTCTGCCTCTTTCCCTTGTTTCCTCTTTCTCTTTTTCATCTTTTCTTTTTTTTTTCTCTCTTTTCAATGTTTTTTTCTTGCTCTTTTCTTCATTTACACTTTCCCTGTTTCAAATCTCTTTTATTTTTTTATTCTTTCTCTTTCTTTTCTCTCTTTTTTTTGTTTTTTTCCTTGTTTCTTTTTCTCTCTTTTTCTCTTTTTTCTTTTTTTTCTTTCTCTTTTTTTTTTTTCTCTTTTCTTCTTTTTCAATGTTTCTTTATTTTTTGCTCTTTTTCTATTCTCTTTTCTAATTACTGTCTTTCCTTGTTTCATTTCTCTTTCTCTCTTTTTATCTTTCGTCTCTTTCATTCTCTCTTTTCAATGTTATTTTATTATTGCTCTTTATTCATATACAATTTCCTTTTTTCTTTCTCTTTCTCTCTTTTTATCTTTCGTCTCTTTTCATTCTCTCTTTTTTTCAATGTTATTTTATTATTTTCCTCTTTTTTCCTTTGTTTCACTCTTTTCTCTTGTTTCTTTTTTAGTTTTCTTTTTCAATGTTTCTTTTTATTCCTTTTTTCAATGTTTCTTTTCCTTGTTTTTTCTCTTTCTTTCTTGTCTTTTTTCTTCTCTTTTTCAATGTTATTTTTTTATTGCTCTTTATTCATATACACTTTCCCTTGTTTCATTTCTCTTTCTCTTTTTTCTCTTTCGTCTCTTTCATTCTCTCTTTTCAATGTTTTTTTTTATTGCTTTTATTCTCTTTACACTTTCCTTGTTTCATTTCTCTTTCTCTCTTTTTATCTTTCGTCTTTTCATTCTCTCTTTTCAATGTTATTTTTTTATTGCTCTTTATTCATATACTTTTCCTTGTTTCATTTCTCTTTCTCTCTTTTTATCTTTCGTCTCTTTTCATTCTCTCTTTTTCAATGTTATTTTATTATTGCTCTTTTCATCATATACTTTTCCCTTGTTTCATTTCTCTTTCTCTCTTTTTATCTTTCGTCTCTTTCATTCTCTCTTTTCAATGTTATTTTATTATTGCTCTTTATTCATATACACTTTCCCTTGTTTCATTTCTCTTTCTCTCTTTTTATCTTTCGTCTCTTTTTCATTCTCTCTTTTCAATGTTATTTTATTATTGTTCTGTATTGATATAAACTTCACTTGGCTAAAGTTCTGTTTCTTTCTATTCTCTCTCTCTCTATCTCTTTTTAACTTTCTTTTTTTTTCCTTCTCTTTTCAATGATATTTTACTAGCCCTGGGCAAGTACATATAATGCATAATATTAAGTGGACAGAACAATAAGTCCTTGTGGTTTGCAGCTTCTTCTTTCACTTTCACTTTTGGTTCAGGTACACTTCTGTTATAAAAATGAGTGCTGAAGCCTTACATGAAATCCATAGCCTGGATTCCTGTAGATAATAGTTATTCCATAAACAAAATGAATACTTGGAAAATTACTAACAACACCCTTTCTTTCTTGACAAGAAAGTCTCCTTCCCCTCTTTCTCTCTCATATATATATATATATATATATATATATATATATATATATATATATATGAGAGAAACATATATCTATATGTTTGTGTAGAACATAATGGTATGTCTTCAAATATACTCTGATAAAAATAAAAACTGCAACACATGAAAGAACAATACAGA